AGGCTGTGGGGGCGCGCCCCCGGCCCGGCTCTTCTGCCGCCAAGGCGCAAAAGTGGTGGTTGCGGACATTCACGACGAACGGGGGAGCTCCGTCTGCACCGAGCTCGGACAGACGGCATCCTACGTCCGCTGCGACGTCACCGACGAAGACGACATCCGCCGTGCCGTCGACCATGCCGTAGACAACTTCGGCCAGCTGGACATCATGTTCAACAACGCCGGTGAGAAGCAAATTGCATAAATACCAATTAATTATTACATATTTACATATTCCTCCTGAGTGCAGGAATCACGGGGGCGGGCAAAGCGAGGATAACGGACAACACAAAGGAGGACTTCCTGCACGTGCTATCAATAAATCTCCTCGGCGTTTTCCTCGGCACGAAACACGCCGCACGTGTGATGGTCCCGGCGGGGTCCGGCTCCATACTCTCCATGGCGAGCACTGCCGCCGTCACCGCCGGCCTGGCCTCGCACGCATACACGTCCTCCAAGCACGGGGTGGTGGGCCTGACCCGGAACGCGGCGGCGGAGCTGGGGCGGCGCGGGGTGCGGGTGAACTGCTTGTCGGCGGCGACGGTGGCGACGGCGATGGCGACGGGATTTATGGGGATGGGGGAGGAGGAGGTGGAGGCGGTGATGGAGGAGAAGGGGAATCTGAGAGGGGTTGTACTGAAGGCGGAGGATGTGGCGAGGGCTGCCCTGTTTCTCTGCAGCGATGAGGGGAGGTTTGTCAGCGGACATAATCTTGTTCTCGATGGCGGCCTCACCGCCGTTAATCCAAACTTCGATTTTTTTAAAGTTTAGGGTTTGCGTGTTTGGTTGATTTTATAAAGGGGAATTTACATACATACCCACCTAATTCTCACAGCAAGTTCATAATCAAATTGACCGTCCCTACAATATGAATCATATAATGTTAAAATTGGTACAATTTGGGTCTAAGCAATCCCGAATCAAGTTGTTGAATCATAATTGCAGGCTTTGGATCGGCAATGGACCATCTCATGTCGTCGCCCGTCGTTGCTGACCACCAGTCATGTGCATCCACAACTTACAATTGTTGTAGTCAAACTATCAATTTTTGGTGAAATATTGTAATCCTCTTCTCTCTCTCTCTCGTGAGAGAATAACGAGTCCATGTATTTAAAAACACGTAGTGGATTATTTTGACTTTTTGTTTTTTTTTCTCTTTAAGAATATTTTCATGTAAAAATTCTCATGTCACCTTTCATTACATTTTATTATTTGTGTGTGTTGAATTTTCGTACGATGCTGCGACTGCAAATCAATGCTATATTGTTATGCAACACAAGTGTAGTTTCATATTTACATTTGTCACACATTAGGGTCATAAACCTAGTCTATGAATGAAAACGTGTATTTCACTTTTAAAAATACAATGTTCGTGATGTTTATGGCGTGATGTTTAAAATTTTTTTGTGATATGGATGTAAATTTGATTGTTTAGATATGTAAATGTATGGCAATATCTAAACACTATATGTTGTGAGATGGGAACAACTTACATGAAATGTCAGAACAATGCATGTTTGAAGCCACTTTATCATCTTGTTGAAAAGATAAACTATGTGACCAATAAATTCGCCGTAAAATTCGTCGCAATGATGAGCATATCATTGTCATACATGAACGGAAAAGATGAAGCGAGAAAAACAGAACAGAATAGATGGGTATTAAGATATGATTTAATTATTAGATTTATAGATTTGATATTTATACTAATAATACAATTTGGTGTTACAAATATATGCATGAAAAGATACATTGATGTTGATATTATTTATGTTAACTGTTTTTGATGTGATGTTAAAATTTTTAGTGATATGCATGTAAATATATATAAAGTTTAAGGGTTATATATGTTAATATATATAAATTGTGTAGTATGCTATCACTATTATTTTATTGTGCATATGGCCCTTCATGCTCAAACCTGTTCTCCCGATTCTCTACATTCAGTTTAGTTGCTTTCTAATATTTTATTCAAACACTGTATTGAATTGAAATTTAGTTTTTTTTTCTGTTATTTATTCAGATTATAATTTATGTTTAATTAAACAAACTTAAAAACAAAAAAAAAAATTGAAACAATGGAGTATTTAGGGTCTGTTTGAGGCAGCTTCAGTTGATTAAAAAGTAGTTATGAAGTTGCTGAAAAATAATCTGATATCAAAAGGTTGTGGTGGCTATTACAATTTTTTTTTAAGAAAAAAGTCTTATCGTAGCTAGAAAGTTCTCACCACACCTTAGCTAGGATCATGGGAAAACTCAAATTTTACCGTAGATTTTTAAAAATCTGTCAATACGCATTTTACCCAAAAAAACAAAACTGCGGTACTGCGCTGCACTGCCGCCCCAAACAATCTCTAACTCTTATATGAATGAGATGATGTATATCTCTTTTTATATGCCTCAATATACCTACTACCTTCACCGGGTTACAAAGTAAAAATATTAAATTAATTTATTGCAGTACGAGATCTGTTTATAAAGTTTTAAACAAAAGACTATGATGAGTCCGACAAATTAGTTCGATAGGTCAAACGTACTTCGATAGATGAGTTCAGCGAACCAACCTGGTCCATAAAAGCCATTTATTGATGCACAAAGATATACTTTTATATGTATATGTATATGCTATCATTCATATATTGATTTTTGCAAGTGATGCAAGTTATGTACAAAAAAATAAGTGATATTGACATTTGATTTTTGCAATTGTTACCAATTTACATATCCAACATTTAAAGTTTGATTTTTATATTTTGCATCAAAAGATGTTTTATACTTTTAAAAGTTAGTGATAATGATATTTCTTTTATATAACATTAAGGATTTGTATTGTAAGAATATAAATAGATTTCACAAATAAAATATTAAAAATAATATAAAAAAAATATCCAAAAGCATTATCTTGCAAAAAATTAAGATGTATATAAAGAAAAGCCTTCATCTTTGTGTATTGAATGCCCACCAAAGGCATCCTACCCCTATTTATTGCCCTCTCTGTCTTTTCCCTCTTCCTCTCCTCTCTTCTCCCACGGAGACTTGAAGCAAAAAACAGTAACAATGGGAAGGAAGAAACTCATGTCTTTCTCCTCTCTTCTCTTCTCCTACTCATCTTCTTCTCCATGCATCTGGCCTCCCTGCACCAAACCAAAAACCAGTTCTTTCAGACTCCTAACCTCACCCCTCCTCCCCATCTCCACCTCATCCCAACATCAAGCTTCAGAGACCTTCTCCTTCTCCGACCAACCCACAGAGAAAACTTGTGCAGAAGCTGTGCTGGACGGGCTTCGATCCGACCGGCTATTCTTCGATCCATGCTGCAGCGAAAACAGCTCGATAATGGCGGCAGGGTTTCATGGAGGACTGGCAGTGGAGAAGGAGTCCACAAACCCTTACAGGGATTTCAGAGCTTCTATGGAGGAGATGGTGGAAGCTCATGGAGATAGGAACTGGGAATGGCTGCAGCAAATGCTTGTGTGGTTTTTGAGAGCAAATGGGAAAGGGAATCATGGCTTGATTGTTGGTGCTTTCATTGATTTGCTTTTAGGGTTTGGTGCCTCTTCTCCTTCTTCCTCCTCCCCTCTTCATGATAAAAACCCTATTTGTTCATCTTGTTCCTCTAACTCTTCATTTATGTTTGACATTGATGGGGATGGAGTGGAGAGATATGGTAATTGTTAGTTTTTTATTTTCTTAAGAAAATGTTTTTGAGGTGCATATATTATGTATATACATATTTGACATTTGTTATGTCAGTTCTGAGTCTCCAGTTGCTGTGCACAGATCCGTCGAGTGTTTAGCCACATGAGGTTAATTGAAGGCTCGTATTATAGCCTCTAACTAACCTTTAAGAAATATGAACTTCATTATTTAGTTTGTGTATTATCTCAATTTTATAAATTATTGTTTACATCTAATAAACGTAGGCACTGTTAACCTTTGTCCATAAATTATTTGCATTAAAGTTGGTGTATATCACAATTATTGATCTAATGAGTTGAAATTAAAAAATTATCATAGAAAGATTGGACTGATCGGCAAACACTAATGAAAAATAATTTTACTATAGTGTGTCCCACAAGCCAATGATTCAAGTCAAAAGCTAGTTCAAGCTTGGCTTGTAAATTAGCTAAACGAATCATGCTGCCAGACGCACAACGTGGTGTGATTATTGTGGTCGTCCACACGTCTGGATGACAGATGTAACATTTTTTCTTGGCGTACCAAGGATTTTATTGAGTCAAGTCCAAATTAACTCAATTACCCATATAAGTACTCGAGATGAGCTTCCACATGCAGCTTTATCACTATTTGGGAGTATTGCTTATGGATCACATTTAATATGTCTTCATTTATTACATTAACTACTTAAATTTATTTTATTAACCGCCTACATGAATTATTATTTTTTTTATTGTTGTATGCCCAAATATGGAGCGTTATTTTTGTCCGGACTCCTGACGTAGCTCTATGTGCGGCGTAGGTTATTCTTGAGTTATTTTCAGGTTATTTCTGGGTTATTTTTTATAATCCTGAAATAACTCAGAAATAACCCGCGGTCTTGAAGCAAAAAATAGTAACAATGGGAAGGGTTATTTTTAGGTAATTTTTAATAATCCTGAAATAACCCAAAAATAAAGACCGCGGGTTATTTTGGTATTATTAAAAATAACCAAGAAATAACCTGAAAATAACTCAGAAATAATTTCCGCCGCACGTAGAGCTACGTCAGTAGTCCGCACATAAATTTTTTTGCCAAATATAAGTACTTTTGAGTTGAACCCACGAGCTACTGTGGTTAGATCGAGCGAACCCACATGTTGAAACGATTGAATCAAACTCATCTTCTGAAGTAGTTGAACTCGCTTAAAGCAAACCGGCTACTTCAGAAGACCGTCATTATAACAGAATGTAAGTCCATCTCTATTAACAGTGTGGTCCGACACCCATTGCGGGGTACAATTTTAGAATTTTTTGTCTTTAAAAAAATGAGCTCAGGCTCTAGGAACACAACAATCATCTTCTTTTTACACCTTCCTCCTATAACAAGATCTGTCCCACGTTTTATGTACTTAAGGACAATACGGGACCCTACGCCCCAAAATGATTCAATAATTATAATAAAAAAAATATTTTATGCTATGAATGATAAATACAACTTTAAAATTTGATGCCTAGAAACTTGTGCATTTTAAATCATAACAAATCCAATATATTATTTAAAAATAAATTAAAACAAAAAGTCGCACATAATATTAAGCACCTTGCTATACATATATATATATATATATAGGTAACCACTGTGGCGAGTGATCGCTGCCAATTATTATGGGTGTGGACATGTAACGTCACTTCATTTTATTTAATCTCTTAACGTGTTAGTTTTTAGAAAATACTATATTCATATGTAAGAATGACAGTGTAGATCGCACCATGTCGTGTGTCTTGTCTGCATCATGTGATACACGGACGTCTGATCATCTGGTGGCGTGATGCGATTCATATCATCGACTACATATTTAATTCAATGGACGTAATATTTTCTTGCTCTTTTCACTATCTTAAATATTCAAATATTTTTTTTAACAAAAATATTTATTTCTTAAGTACATTGGCCATATAAAATTCATTATTGGTACAATTTTTTTTTAATTTACATATTTACCCATTTAAAATTTATATTTATATGCATAACACTCAAATCATCAACAACAAATCAAAAATATCCTGGTTACTAACTCTAGTAAAACACATCTTTTCATTATAAATATAAATACTAAATTTTAGGGGTTAGATATATAAATCTATAATAATTGTGTGATACACATGTAAATTTCTCTTAAATTTAATGAAAAATAAATTACCGTCTACATAAATATTATGCAAATGTATATATGTGGTCTATGATCATAAACTTAAGTTAATAATATTATATTTCATATTAATGAATATTTATTATTTAAAAAAAATGCTTGAAAAATATTTTCAAAGATAACCCTAAGATCCATGCCACAATTGGCTAGCCTCCTAGGATTTGTGGGCCATATATTACTATGTTCAATGCCCCCCAAGCTTGTAAAGTACCTACTTTTCACTTTTACCCCTAGATATCAAACTAGTAGATATTTGATCCCAAAGTAAAAAAAAATAAAGAAAGGGAACAAGCTTCCTTGTGCAAATATACTTTAGATACTTTGCCTTGTTGTGTAAAAATCAAATTTTGATTCCTGTTTGAGATTAAAAATCATATTTTGATTCCTGTTCCAGATTAAAAATCATATTTTGATTCCTGTTTGAGATTAAAAATCAAATTTTGATTCCTGTTTAAGATAATGTATATTAAGTTTAGGCTATTGTGAATGATTGGATGATTTGGAGATGGATTGTGCATTTTACTTTGCTACTATTCTATATAGTTTTTTTTTTTTTTTTAATCTAAATTTTATCTAAATTATTTCAATTATAAAAATATCTTCGGCTTTAATCAATCATAACTTCGATATGACGTGTCATTCTGAAGCTGATTAGGTGGAACGGATAAGAGCATGACTTGATGTAATTTAGTTGGATTGGTGTGTGGGGAAGAGAATTGAGTACATCTTGATCAACAATTTGACAAAATGTTTGTTGCCATGAAGCTCTGTGTGGAGTCAATACTTGTGTTGCAAAGTGAAAAGTAACAACTAACGTCGCGGAGTCACGAAGCATCTTATGAATCAATGCATCATCCTTATTATCGTGCTAACCTAAAAGATGGTGTACCGAAGCTCCTGCAGCTACTGTCCGCTGCGACCGCTTCATACCTTGGGGCAAGCACTTATACGCACGACCATTGTGACTCGAGAAATTGTACAACTCTTTCTCATTTTATAACACAAGAGTTTGTTGTAATCACTAACTCACAGTTAATCATTTCAGCTGGGCTAAGTCTTGTTCTTTTTTTCTCTTTCTGAGTTTTACACAAAAAAAAAAAAAACTTATGGTGATGTCACTTTTATTACCGAAGTATGTGTTGGATTCTCTTGTAATGTTAATATGATAACTCATTATTCTACGACCACGAATTTTCTACGACACATCAATTTTTTAGTTGATCAGGTATAACAAATAGGAGCACAAATCGACTTTATTTAGTTGAATGATGCTTCGATGCAACTAATATTGTTGAAAGCTAGAGTTGTGCCGTCCGTGGCCAAAATAGGACCCAACGGATAGAATCGGCTTCATATTGGAAAAGATTAGACCTAATTGGTCTGAATCCTTTGCCCAACTTCAAGTGTGATTTAGATATTATTTATTTTGATATAATTACATTTAGAGCATCAGAAATATTGATATTTACAAATCAAACACCCAAACAATTAAGCGTGCCATGATCAAATCATTAAGAATTTGATAAAAATAAAAAAAAATATGTGTTGGAGTTTTGTCATGATTATTTATATTTGAGTGAGAATTTAATAAAAAAGGATGAAAAAAAGTGTTAGATTTGTAAATAACAATATTTTGGGGGCTCCTTATGCAATTGCTCTCAGGTAGGGCTGTGACTTCAGCACAAAGATCATATTTGTTCAAAAAATTTATTCGAAGTTTAGCTCGGATCTAGATCGAATTGTAATAAATGAGCCGAGCCATGAGTCAAAATTTTGGATCAATTTTTTTTCGAGCGGGTTCCATACAAGAATCAGTTCAAACTGGCCTCAGATTGGGTCGAATACTTTTCTATTTATAAAAGTTATACATAATGTTAAGTAAAATCGAGCGACGAGCCAATTCTGAGCTAAAACCGATTTCAATTTTAGCCATTTTGTTTTGATTTCGAGTCAATTTGAGTCAATTTGAGTCAATTTTTTGTTTTTTTTAATGAGTGGTTGTACATGATATTTTCGTTATAATAATGTTGTCATAGCATGTTTTGAGTTGAGGGAAATTTACATACATACCACACAATTCTTATGTATTTACACGTCTAAGACCTAAATCTCTATAAACCTTCCACTAAGCCAATGAAAAAGCAAAGAAAATATATATATGCATAATGTTATGTAAGATTTATGTGGCATTAAATCAAAGGGGCATTTACATACATACCACCTAATTCCAATGTATTTGCATATCTAACATCTAAACTTTACTTTTTTACATTTATACCACCCAAATCATTCATATGATATCAAAAAAAACCACCATTTTAACTTTTGATAAGTGCAATACACCTCTTCAGATAAAGGCAAGATGGCATGTATGTAAAAATTGAAGTTTAGGTGTTAAAAATGTAAAATGCATAGGAATTGAAAGGTATGTATGTAAATGTCAAAATTATGAAATTAAGCGAATAGATTAGCAGAGTGGCAGGGCAGAAGCACTGATTGACATAACATAATTCATGAAAAAGCTAACTATTAGCAAAATGTCAGGACAGACCAGATCAAGCTTTAAGTATCTTAGAATGTAACAAAATTATAGTGGAAGATTTACATACATTCCACTCAATTCCTATGTATTTACATATCTAACACCTAAACTTTAATTTTTGTATACAGGTCACCTTATCTATGCATTCAAAGGGTGTATTTCACTTTTTAAAGTTAAAATAGCATTACTTTAAAGATTTGGGCGGTATAAATGTAAAAAGTAAATTTTAGGTTTTAGATATGTAAATACCTAGGAATTGGGTGTTGTGTATGCAAATGCCGCAATTATGTTTTAAATAGGGAATTATAAGGTTTCTTCTTATGTATTTATAAGTCTAATGCCTAAACTTTCACATTTACAAATATAACAATCAAAATTTCAATATCAAATGAACATTATTAACATTTTAAAAGTGAAATATGCATTTTCATAGACTTATAACACCAAAATGTTGAGATTTAAACCTCGGACGGCTCGTCGTTCAATTCTTTCGAAGTAATAGGATCTTTTTCTTCGTTCCAAAATCTCCCTCCCTTCTTTTACTCAATTCCGAAGAGTAACTCAGACCAATTCATTCATGCACATTTTAATGTTTTGATTGAACACTTTTCATTTATGATTAAAGAAGGAGATTCTTCTTTTTACCAAATCGATGCGAATCAAATCATGTTCTTTTAATTCTAATAATCACTTTAATAATTTGAGCGATACACCCTAAAACTTGTTCTACAAGCATAGAAACCACAAGATAGAAGTAATGGGATTGCTTATTATAATCATCAATCATAAGAAATGTATCAAAATTTGTTTTTTTTTAGGAGTGCTGAATCAAAAAGAAATATTTGATAGCATGTTGACCTGTTGATTCCATAATTATAAATATCAAAATTTAAAGGTTAGATACGTAAAAACATAAGAATTGTGTGGCATATAAATGTATATTTCCTTCAATGGTTTCAAGAGTGCACTTGATTCCAACTATCTCTAAATCAACATAATCTTAATTGTCTTCTCAATTATGCCCCCAATCCTTCAATCCTAATTCCTATTGTTAGTGTAAAAATGCAAAGTCTATGCAGAATGATTCTCAAATAGCACTAAATTCTGCAATTAAAAAAAAAAAAAGATTTCAGCAGAGGAATTCTGTGGCAATGTAATCTACAAACAATCATCACTCAAACCTTCCTTCCAAAGAGGCGACCTTCTCGACGGAGAAGAAGAGCTGACACAGACATCCAACCTGCGCTGGAACTCTGCATCGCTGTGCTTCAGCAATGCCGGCAGCTCAAAAAAAACTCCATTTTGCTTGCAAATGCAGTGCCTGGGTTTGATCTTCTTATCCAGACTAAACGAGAAGTACTGCGGAAAAAGCTTGATCTCCCTCAGCTCCCTCTCCATTGTCCCTAAAAAAAATTCAACCTTTGGCTCTAGATTCTCCTTTATACTGTAACAGAAGATCTGGGGAAACCTCCTCGCCATGAAACGAGCTTCCATGGATGAAAACCCGACTTTCTGAAGAAACTCGAGCCGAGGTAGAAACTTGTCTTCAACGCTGCAGGAAAGCAGATGGGCGTGCCGCCCGGGGTCTGAAACACCGAGCATTTGGAGGAAATTAAGAGTGGGACGAAGCCGGCAGGCGACGGAGGAGACGAGGAGGCGGGGGCGGCGTGATAGGACGTAGCAGAGATCGCTGCTCCGAACGCCGGCCTCACGAAGGAGGAAAGCGAGGACGGCGTTGAAAGCAGGAGGGCCGCCGGCGGTGAGGATCTCCGGGCACATGCCGCACATCCGGCGAAGGTCGGCGGAGGAGAAGCCGAGAGAGAGGAGGGAGTCGACGGCGGCGCGGAGGTCGGCGAGAGAAGAAGATACGATGGGTGGGTGGTCTTCGATAAGTGCGAAGAGATCGATCCCAACTGAATCGAGATAGAGCATCTTTTCGAGGAAGGGGAAATGGGTAGGGGTGGAGGGGGTTTTGCGAGGTGAATCGGGAGGAGAAACGGCGGCCGGCGGCGAGATGAGGTTGTTCGTGGCTAGAGGGGTTGGGGGCTGAGGGAGGGACTTTAGGGGAGAAAAAGTAGAGATTTTGTGTAAGGGATTGGGGAAAACATGGTGTTTTGAGAACGAAGGGGATAATAGCGGCGGTGGGACGGAGCAGAGACCACGGAAATGGATGGCTTCCTTCATATTTACATGGCCGCCGGCGACGGAGACGGCGGCGGAAGGGGAGTGTTGGTCAATTAGATAAGGCGAGATGATGGATGAGGGAGGAAGAAGGATAGGGGAAAACAGGCGACCTAAGTTTTGTTTGATATGGACATTGATAAGGGGATGATGTCAATGTAACTATTGTTGAACCTTCTAATTTTACTTGATCTTTTGCAATCAATAACAAATTCTATAATATACATTATCTATGTGCACCACACCATATGTTATATTGATTTGTTGAAATTAATATAGAGTTTTAATTATGCTTTTTTTCTCTCCCTGCATCTTAGTTCCTTATTGCTATTAATGCTTCTTAGTGATTGATATCAACTCAATCTTAAAGTTTACGTGGTACCAGAGCTTCTGTTGTTGTAAAGCTCTTGTCCCTCCAAATCTTGCAACCCATCTTAGTGATTGATATCAACTCAATCTTAAAGTTTACGTGGTACCAGAGCTTCTGTTGTTGTAAAGCTCTTGTCCCTCCAAATCTTGCAACCCATCTTCATCCAACCTCTATGACTGCAATACCAAGTTTGAAAACTAACTACGGTCTAGGCACCTTAGCCTCAACCCAACACAAATTAGCAACATTACAATCCTACCTTAGTCCAAACTCATCATCATCGGTATCAAAACCATCATCCATGTCAAGTAAATCGGTGAAAACCATTCAACGTGACAATCTCAGATTTTGAAGTTATTCATTCTCAAATGTTATGATGTATAAAATTGATCTTAATTTACTAAAACTAAATGAAAATATGACACTAAATAGGACACAATGGAGAAAAAGGATTCATGTAGCCGACCCCACATTAGTGGGATTAAGGCTTTGTTGTTGTTGTTGTTTTGATGGCTACCTCGATAGCTCCGCTGATGTTGTTATTCTAGACCTCCTATAAGGTGTTTCAGACTGGATTTTACGGAGAGATGGTTGTGGAATAGCGAATGATATATGTGAGGTCGGCAGTATTTTAAAGAGGTATGAGGTGAAATCTGTTATTGGAGAGTATATTTAGCACAATTGGTTGTTGTTCGGACAAAAAATAATTGTCGAATGGTGCAACAACAAAGTACATGCAATGAGGAGGATTGAACACTTCTTCCCAAGCAAGCTAAGGACACCACCTACAATAGAACGAGGATACAACACTGAAGAGTGCCAAAAATTATAAAATAAACTCTCAAAATACATAATCAATCAAAATCTCAAAATAACTAGATTATAACCTATCAAATGTTCTTTAATATAATTAAATATTAAAAATGAAAGAAACAAGAAAGAACACAAAAGTTTTAGAAGCTTAATAGGGATTGCATCTCGTGATCATGGGATGCATGATCACACGGAAACGCGAAAGCTAAATAGTGAGAGTCAATGTCTTCTAAAATATCACATCTCTCATTCCCCGATAATAGAGATTTCTTATTCTTCTTTATAAGGTCACGTACGCTACCATCACATGTCCATAAGTTCGTCGGTGCACTAATAAATTGAACTAGAACTTTCTGCCTAACTTACCCAATAAAATCTTCCAAAAGGATCTAAGGAATTTCATATCCCTTGTAATGCTTCTAGGATTATCATGAAGATGAATTACCTCCTTAAAGTATAAGTCTAGAATATGTGATGCATCATTTATCTTGTGATAAGGAAGAAAATGAGCCAACTTGGAGGAATTGTCAATTGCAACCATGTCAAAATCATTAGCTCATAATATCTAAAACAACTCCATACTAAAGCTTATGCTTGTGTCAATCCTAAGAAACTCCGAGACATATATGTTACTTCAAAGTTTATTCTTATAAAAGAAATAATCTTCTTTCTTTGGCACAATTAGAGCTAGAGAGACATCTAGGCTATGACTCTCATAAACCTAGCCTCTAGCTATCAAGTATGAAACGTGTTGTTACAATTTCTCATGCTCAAGTGTTGCTCCCATTAGCAAGTTGGATTGACCAAAAAAAAAGGCCCATGAATGAGATTTATAACATATAGATTTTCATTTTTTTTATTTTTTCCACATCTTTTGTTAGAGGCCAATAATTAGGAAAATCCAATTAACTTTATTGAAGATAAGAGCAATAGTAGGATGCTACGGATTTGGTGGGGAAATTCAATCATTAGTGTTGACATGGTATTAGAACTTGTCTATATCAAGTAGATAGATGAGTATGCAAGTCGATTTAACTTGTTGGCTGAAAGCTTCGGCTTACATTTGTAATTAAAGCTGATCATATGTCTCAAAAAGCTAATTGTAGGGTTATATTACTATTATGTACACATATTTCTCTATGTGTGTTACTTTTAAGTAGAATAATGCGGAACTCTTAAAGTCACAATATTTTTGTGTAACGTTCATAAATTTGACAAGTTTGAGCAATTTTGAGATGGGTGACCAAGTAAAAAGGCCAAAGGAGAGAATATCTCGATAAACGAATGATTGTTCGGGCTCTATAATGATTAAATAATTATACATATATATGGTGAGGAGTGTGTGTTCGAGTCCATTTGTCTGCATGAGCTGGCTGATATTTGGCAAATCTCTTCCTATCATTAGAGCCACATGCCCCTTGCCCCCACACACATTCTGTTCTGCCCTCATGGCTTGTGGCAATTTACTTAAAGAGAAATTTACATACATACCATGCAACTCTTATGTATTTACATATCTAACACCTAAAGTTATCAATATTTACATTTCTATTGAAGCACCCGATGAAATTCAAAACACAATCATTAAAGGAAGTTACAATATAGAAGTTTGGGTGTGAAATATGTAAATAAATAAGTTTTGGGAGCTATGTATGTAAAAACCCCTAATTTTCATAAAATATTTTAATGGTATATTTGTAAATATATGAGAATTGTTTGGCATGTATGTAAATGGCCTCATTAATTAATTTCTAGGCGCATTCATTCATTTTTATTGGGAAATAGCATAATTTAATTCAATTGCATAGAAGAACATATATAATTCAAAAGGAGGAAGATTTAAATAATAAATACATACCACTCAGTTCTTCTTTATTTACATGTCTAACCTCAAATTTTACATACATGCCCATATGATATATACATTCACTTTTCTAAATTTAATATTAGATAAAAATCACACTCTTATTTACTTTTTAAAAGTGAAATACATCTTTAAGTTTATGACAGGGTCCGTGTTGAGAAAAAAATAGGGCGAAGAAAACAGCAATCGACACAAATCCAGAAGAACACAGAGATTTAACGAGGTTCGGCAAAGATGCCTACATCCTCGGGAGCAGAGCGGCGTATTCCTTTCAATATTCAGAAAAGGGTTTACAGAATTCAGGGTTCCAACTCTCTCAAGGACCTAGGATTACAAACATGTCTATTAATAATCCTCGAGTAAGTCCTACAGTACAATATGTAATTCCCAAATTACCTCTGTACCATATAGCGGTGCGTTGACCGGTGCGTTGACCCAACACCCACATAACGTAACTTCCCGATTTGGACAGATTCTTCCGCTTCGCTCCGCTCTGCTCCGCTTCGTTCCAGCGTCTGTCCCTATATGGTATATGAGTCATACCTAACAGTCCGTGTATCGATCCAGCAATGAACGAGTAAGTTCCGAAGAGAAAAAAAAATTATAGCCTGCTTAATTTTGTAGATAGCTTGAATGTACGAAGTTTTGATATTTTGTCAAATTGACTAATCTTAATTTTTGAAAAACAACAATCCTAGGTTAACATTGTCAGAGAGTTTCCGAGTTTTAAAATACACGAAAGTTTCTCCTCTGAATTGGATTCATATGGTTCAAATTGATGATTAGACTAGTGAGTGACAATTGGTAGCAACATTTTTGCTTTTCCTCTCTGCGACATCTAAAGAAGTTTTGCAATCATAAAAGTTTAGCCCTCGAAATCAATTGATTAACCCTTAAAAGTTACACTAGTCTAGACGCAATATTCATATTCCCTAAATTATTGTATATTAACTTAATCGTTCCACTAAGAATACTCCTAAATCTCAAAGTTAATGACGAGTTTTAACATTTTAGTTGGTCAAGTCAAAAGTAAATTATGTTCTAAAGGTTAAAACACGGTCATATGAGAAATTGCATGAAATCAAATTAGAAAATTCTCACTGAACACTCCCGCATAGCCAATCCAAGGGAGAAAAGAGAAAACTACTCGTAAGTCATACTCACAAATAACATTATGATTTTATTGAAGAAGAATCACATAAATACAAAATTTGAAAGATAAATAGAAATTATCTCCTTCTTTTCTTCTAAAAGGAAAGATGAAGTCACAATAGAATTACATACTCTCAAACTCTCAGAACACTCTCCTAACTTGTCTCTTTACTCCACTCCAGATTTTCTCTTAGTCTTCAAACTTTTTTTTTTTTGTGTGAAAATGGATCATTCCTTTTGTTAGTTGAACTCGAATATATAGCATTTTTTTATGAATCGTCGTGTCAGAACCACAAAAACAACCAAAACACGTGAACTCCTAGGCTTGGCAACGACATCACCTACTTTTCACCTTCTTGGGATGAATTTCTGGGGCATTAGCTGCCTAGGTCCCTATTTCGGGAGTCTAAACTTTTGTTCCCCGCGTCAGGGTGCGTATTTCTACCACCCAGGCCTCCATAATTCGCATTTGGGTGCCTATTTAGATGTCCCCTAGCACCTAGGAGCCCAAATCTGTCGCCTAAGCACCCAAGTCTGGCGAAGGGGCTCCTGGGCAGCCCGGTTCAACTAAACTGTCCATTTTGTGTTTGTTTCATCTCGTTTGATTCCCAAAATATTTTAAGTTCATAGATAACATTTTACAAATTTTTTAGATGATTTGCTTTCTCAATTTTTATAACTTTAAACATCTTGCTTATGCATGAAATAAAGCATATAAGTTTTAAAAATTTAACATGATATTGTTTATGTAATATAAATGATTAGAATGGTATAAACATTAAAAAAAAATAATGTTAGATAAGCAAATAAATAAAAATTAGTTGGTAGGTCTGTAAAAGCTTATCTTAACCCGCATTTTTCAATTATAAAATCATATGCTCTTTGCGTCAGAACCTAACCGACAAAAAAGGAGCTGCCACGTCATCAGCCTGCGATTCATGCCGTTACCGTACTGTCCAGAGCCTACATACCTCCAGCAAACATTCAACCGTTCGATGCGGGCTGCCTGCATACACCAACGGCCAGATTAAAGTCACCGCACGCCATTACGACAGCCCTACCGTGCTCCGCGTCCACCGCCATGTGGGCCCCATGGCAGTCACTACAAGGGCCGTTAACGATTTTAAGTTAACAAACTTGGAGCTAAAGTCTTCACTCTTGATCCCATGGCTGAATTCCACTATCTGCTCCTCCTCTTCCTCCTCCTCCCTCTCGCCGCCGGCGAACTTCCGATCTCCATCCCGCTTCGGCGATCTCACCTTCCCCTCCCCTCCGACTCCTCCAACAGTATCGCAGCAATGGCTTCAGCCTCCGTTCTTCGAGCTCAGCTGATTAAAAACCCGACTGCTACGCCCCCTTCCACCACCACCGCCGCCCTCTTCCCCCACTCCTACGGCGGCTACTCCATCAACCCCCCCCCCCCCGCCGCCGCCCTCTTCCCCCACTCCGACGGCGGCTACTCCATCAACGTCAGCTTCGGGACTCCGCCGCAGCAAATCCCCCTCGTGTTCGACACCGGCAGCCAACTTACCTGGTCCCCCTGCACCACGAAATACGTCTGCCGGAACTGCTCCTCAACGGCGAACGCCATTCCGACCTTCATCCCAAAAGCATCCTCTACCTCCAAGCTCATTGGTTGCAAAAACTCGAAATGCGGCTGGCTCCATTCGACAGAGTTTCTCTCACGCTGCCGCAACTGCCTCCCTTCAAATTCCTCCGATTGCCCTCAGATCTGCCCGCCTTACCTTCTCATCTACGGCTCCGGCTCCACCGCCGGGCTTCTTCTCTCGGAAACTTTGCAGCTGTCAACTCGGACGGTCGCCGATTTCGTTTTGGGCTGCTCTGTGTTTTCCGATCGGATGCCTGGAGGTGGAATTGCAGGGTTCGGCCGCGGGGATTCCTCTCTACCGAACCAGCTCAGATTGAAGAGCTTCTCTTACAATCTAATTTCACGGAAATTCGATGATGATGGCGAGAGCGGAACTTTGGTGCTGGTCGGTGACACAACGGCGAGGTTAGTTTCACTCCTCTGCTCAGAAACCCTGTTCCAGCTGCAACAGCAGCGGACGCTAACTACGGCGCGGAGGCGTTTTCAGTTTACTATTATGTCGGACTGAGGAGAATTACCGTCGGGGGAAAGAAGGTGAAGATTCCTTACAACGCTCTCGTCCCGAGCTCAGACGGGAATGGCGGCACGATCGTAGATTCCGGGACGACGTTCACGTTCATGGAGCCTGCGGTCTTCGATCCCCTCGCCGCGGCGTTTGTCGGCCAAGTGGCCGGGAAGCTGAACAGGTCCGGCGACGTGGAGGCGATCGCCGGACTACGGCCGTGTTTTGAGATTCCCGGCGGGGAATCGAAGTTATCTTTGCCGGAACTCGTGTTCCACTTCAAAGGCGGCGCCAAGATGCGGCTTCCGCTAGAGAACTACTTTGCTATTGTGGACATATCTCGGCCGGCGCTTTGCCTGACGATTGTTTCCGGCGCTGGATCCGCCGGAGATGGCGGCCAAGGTCCGGCTATCATACTGGGGAGCTTCCAGCAGCAGAATTACTATATGTTATACGACCTCCAGAGGGAGCGGCTAGGGTTCCGGCGACAATCGAGTAATTAGTGCAAGATTTTAGTTACTGTGTGGGAGGTGAACTTTGAATAAGTGCTACACGGCAAGATTGGGGCCGTTGGATCGTGATCGGACGTTCCACATTGATTTGCTTTAAATGGAATGTGTCCCCGTTTGCATTTTGTTAAGTTTTATTTTATGATGGGTTTTTCTTAAAGGCATGTTGGTTAAAATTGTGAAGAATAAAAGTTGTTTTTTTTTCAAAGATGCCAACACTTTTTATCATATGAGATGATTCTTGTCATTTGTTAGAATATGTAATTGGGAGCGTAAAAATAATCTCCAAGTTACTTCTATTTGCGTAAATTGTAGTTGAAATCTGTGTTTTCTCACCGGTCTTCGCTAGTTGCACTGACAGCTTTCTAGTTGTGATCTATTTTGAAAAAAAATGCAGTAGCCACCACAATTTTTGAATATCATATCATTTTCGCGAAACTGTTTTTTAATACGCTGTAGCTGCTCCGAGCAAACTCGTAGTCGTAGAATTTATAGAAATGTTAAAACAGTCTCCAAGCTCAAATTCAATTTTAAAATAATCTATTAGTATGAAAATTTTACATTCATATGGATAATGGAAATTTTAAGGAGAAATATTGTGATTGAAATTTTTCATATAAGTTGGAATATTATAAATATTTTTTTTATAATTAGAAAAATACTAGCAATAAATTACTCCACATAAATGGTGGAAAATATATGAGGTTGGTTTTATTAGATGTTTTGAAAGGGTGTAACAATTTAATGAAAAATAGGCATTTAAATACATGGCACACACTTCTTATATATTTGTATATCTAGCACCTAAACTTTAGTATTTACATATTTACCCTTTAAATTTTATGCATAATTTTTAATACTGAAATATTATAAATATAAATATCAAATTTAAGATATGTAAATTATATAAGAAAATATTGTGCCATAATGGGTGGGGACCACTTAGCTCATTAGTTATTAAATTTTAACATTTTTATGGGCCATAACTTTCTATGGTGGGATCTTTATGATTACCAAGTTTGTATGAAATGGTGAAGAATATTAAGATAATAGCCTCCTTATTCTATCTTAACATTGTTACTTTAATTTCTTTTCAAATGATGTCATATCATTATTAAAGATGATGTTGACATATATCATTAAAGTTCAATTTTTCCCCACACACATAAAATATTGGTCGAAGGCCATGATACAAGTCCTTAATCAATCTCATGTGTCTAATCAGTGACCTTAGGGGACTCACAACTGACAATGTAGTTGTCAACCAAAGTCTTTTGAAGGTCTATTGGTGGAGCAGTTTTTATGAAGGTTGTAAGTTCTCTTAGGTCACGTGTTCGAATCCCCCCATATGTAGGGTGCGGTACTCGAATATTTAACACACCCAGCGATGATCGAGACTCGTTTAATAGCCTTCCGCCATTCATTTTTAAAAACTAAAAAATATATATATCTATATATGCAAACCTTCAAATAATTGTGGTTGAAATAATATGTTGGGTCTATTACAACTCAATTTTAAAATAATCTTTTAGTATGAAAATTTTATGGTCATGTAGATAAAGAAAAATTAAAGGAAAAATGTGATGATTGAAATTTTTCATTCGAGTTAAATATTATAAATAATTTTTTTTATAATTAGAAAAATATTAGCATAATATACTGCGCATAATTGTGGAAAATATGTGAAATAGTTTAGTAATTTAATGAAAAAAAGGCATTTAAATACATGGCACACAATTCTTATATACTTATATATCTAGCACCTAAACTTCAATGTTTACATACTTACCCTTTAAATTTTTTGCATAATTTTTAATATTGAAGTATTATAAATGTAAATAACAAATTTTAGGTATTTATGTAAATTATAAAAAAAAGGGGGTGGGGTCGTTATTGACCCATAATGCATAGGGACCACTGAGTACATTAGTTATTAAATTTTAACATTTTTATGGGGCATAAACTTTATATGGTGAGATCTTTATGGTTACCAAGTTTGTATGATATTATGAAGAATATAAAGATGCTAACCTTCTTATTATAACTTATCATTGTTAGTTTAATTTCTTTTCAAATGATGTTATAACTAGGGCTGTCAATTTGGCTCGTTGTTCGTGAACAGCTCGTGTTCGGCTCGTTAAACAGCTCGTGTTCGACTCTTTCGTTAAGCCTAACGAGCCGAACACGAACAAATTTTTAAACTCGAAATGTAAACGAGCCGAACACGAACAACAGTTTGTTCGCTCGTGTTCTGCTCAAAATGGCTCGAAAAAAAAAATTATATAACTTTTTATATAACAATATATTACATATATTATTTATATAATAATATATTATATATATTTATGTCTAAGCTTAAATCATAACACCTCATGTGGCAATGTGGTTAGTGTATTTTTTATTCAGGTTCGAATCCCACACTTTACATCTATTTTTCTCAATTTTAGTTTAATGAGCTAATTTCGAGCCGAACACGAACACGAATATTTAAATCGAGCCGAACACTAACACACTGTTCACGAGCCAATTTCGAACACGAGCTATTTCGAACGAGCCGAACACGAGCCAAGCCTGAGCTTATTCAAGCTCGGCTCATTTACAGCCCTAGTTATATCATTATTAAAGAATATGTTGAAATAAATCATTAAAGTTGAATTTTTCCTACCTAACTATCAAAATAAGATGCCAATTTACATAGAGAAGTATACATAATTAATTAGGCTGCAAATGAGCCTAACATTCCACAAGTTACTAATAGCTCGACTCTATTAGAGCTTCTTTAAAAAGCATTTAATTGGCTAAATGAGCGTGCTTGAACACTTTTGTAAATACTCAATTGTTAAATAAATAAATTTGAATAATTTATTGTTTGATTTATTTATGTTTATGAACATTATAATTTAATGTTTGTTAATGAGCTTGATTAAGGCTCTATTACATCTAGATTAAGACTTATTAATGAATTATATAAGTTGATTACTGTTTTTTAAGGCTAATTAAATATTTTAATCAAAGAGAGTGTGTGTGAGACTTTTCTCCCTCATTTATAGGAGTAGCGAAAAAGAAAAGAGGGATCCATCTCCTTCCTATCCCAAAAAAGCATCATAAGTGGGTTTCAATCTCTCTCTCTCTCTCTCTCTCGCTCGCTCTCTCTCTCTCTTCTCTCTCTCTCTCTCTCTCTCTCTCTCTCTGATTTCCTTTAACTTAGAGAACCTCTGAGGAGACGGCTCCTTTCGGTTTCCTTCTGGTTTACCAGAGATTGAAATTACTACATTTCTCGAGATCTCTTTAAATGAATTTTTTCCATCTGACTCTCTTTTTCTCTGACATCCTTTCTGTGGTTTTTACCATGTTTTATGCCCTCACGAACAATACAAGACTACTTCCTAAAATAATTCAGTAAAAACCACACCAAAAAAAAATTATTTATTTATTCCTTTTTTTAGGCTTTCGAGCGCTAGATTATTCTCACTGGAATGATCTTAATATAACTTCTAATTTGATACTTGATGCGTACTAGAAGATTTGCAGCGGTAAAACAGTGATTATTTATTGTCTTATCATCGCATGAAAAACCAACACACACTCAAGACCCATTGATTTTAGCTTGCAGAGTCAGAGGGTAGCCGAATCGTAGGCCTCTATAAATAAAATACATAAAATATTCGGTAACGACCACATTAAAGCAGGTTAAACATGTAAATTCATATATTGTACCCTATTCTCTATATATAAGAGAATCGTTTTATAAAAAAACGAATAATCAACAATTCAGATTACTGTTGTCTACTGTCTTATGCTCTATTACAAATTAGGATTCAACATATTTATATACCTAACACCCTAATTTTGATTTTTACATCTATGACACTCAACTCTTGCTTCTTGCTTCTTGCATGGACCTTTTGAATCATTAATAAGGTGCTATAAATGTAAAAAATTAAAGTTTATGTATTAGATATGTAAGAACTTGGAGAAATGTTATAATTTGAATATATTTTTCCAAATACTTTTAACATTCATAGGAATTCCACGTCAGCAGCTAAACTAGAAACGTGTGGAACTCACTCTCTATCAACAATTATGAATGAATTATTGGCTGTGACACGAAGCCACAAAAGCACTGAATTTTTTTTAATATATTTCAATCTTATAACGTATTTTATTTATTAATTAAAATAAATTAAGTTTTTGCTATTTAAATATGATTAAAATATTACATATCAATTTTTTTCAGCTTATTATTCTGATTAAAATTAATTTAGCATATATATCATAGAATTCTTATTCATTTGCATATGTTACACTTATTTTTTTTTATTTGGGTTACATCACATCAAAAGTAATGCACGTATATGTCATTTTACTTGGGGATGGAATGAGTTGGAGTTGAGATCGACACATGCCAAGCTCGGCTCGTTTGTCAAATTATGAGCTCGAATGTGAGCTCGAGTAGAGCTAAGCTCGTATTTGTAGCAGGCTCATGAGCTCGAACTAAAAATACATATTTTACGAGAGTTCACCAGAGAATGTATTGGTGGTCGAGTGAGAAGGATGCAATGTCAATTCACCAAAAAAAATGTATCAAAATGACTAGCAATAGACTAACTGAGCGGGTTTGAGGGTTGAAGAGCTCAGCTAGCACATTTGAGCTCAAGCTCGTTTAACAAACAGGCTCAAGTTTGAGCTTGAGCTCGGGCTCGTTTACACCCCTGATCTTACTAAAATGATATTTGTATTTGATATGAAAGATTTGTTTGTTATAAATGTAAAAAATAAAATTTACGTGTTAAATATATAAATGCATAGGAGTAATTAAAAGAGCTCAGAGATAATTTAGCTTTCTCTAGTAGTAGTTTATAGACAAGTGATCTAAAATAGTTTTTTATTATTCTCCTTTTTTAGCCACAATAGGATTGACATATTGGCACTGGTCTATGGTCATACGTAGTCTAGCCTTAGATTGCAAAGGGGCCCAAAGGAGAAAAAATTATTTCATATATGCAGGAATGATACGCTTTCTGATTTCCATCATTCATCAACTTTAAAAAAAAAAAATTTAAAAATGAGACCCTGAAATACATGTTTGCCCTGATGAACGGTGTAGATCAGACAACGTATCCATTTCTGTATATGTTGTCTGCATACGCCGTCTGTTTGGAATAATTTTTCTCAAAGGAGGTTGAAATTAATAAGTTTTTTTAAAATTTTAGATGCACGTAAATATCAAAGTTCAGGTGTTAGATATGTAAATATATAAGAATTCCGTGGTATGTGCATAAAAGCCCCTTATTATAATAATAATAATTATTATTATTATTATGGATTTTTATTTATTTAGTTAGTTTGTTAAAACATATTTTTGCTGGGAACAAAAAAAAAAGAGAAAAAAAAAAAAAAAAAAAAGAATAAAAGCCGTTGAAGGCTGTAGCGCGTTGCTTCCATTATTAGAGCTATCACTGAAAAATCAAAATTCATTAAAGTTCGATTCGGTTGTTGTCGGATCAAAGATTGTTGGGTGGAAGATAATCAGGAATTTATTCGAGGAAGAAAATCACAATGATGGGGCAAAAAAAGGGCCAAAAAGATTCTGCCCATTTTGGATTTTTTTTTATTTACTTTTAAAACATGCTTACTTTATTAATTTTTTTAAAATATTTTTAAATAAATTAATTTATTTTTAAAAACACTCAAAATAAATTTAAATGTTTCGAGTGTTTTAAAAATAAGAATCACAATCATTACTTCATACATGTTGCCCGCTATTGGGCCGCACTAGCTTTTGTCTCCCTCACTATTATCAGGCACTAGTTATGAGATCAAGATAAATGACCGTACATAAAAAAAATGTGTCAGCACTGATCTTGAGGAGATCTAACAGTTGATAGGAGAACAGTGTGACGATGGAGGACTCACCGACAACAAACCGTGAGACCCACTTATATGACCATGTGCAACAGTCTGAGCCAAAACCAGCAATATCAAAACAGACCAACCATAATAAGAACAAAAATATGACCAAATGATTTGAGTTCAAAAGCACTTTTGTCAAAAAAGAGATAAAAGAAAGACCCAATCTCTCAGTAAATTCAATCATATTGGGGACTTATGGAAGTCTCCACATCTATTATCAATGCCAACAACAAGACTAGATCTGTCGATCGACAACGTTGACCAAGCATGGCCAACCAAGTCGGACTTGTCAACCCGAAGCCAATTAATTAAGCTATATGTAAAACACAAAAAAATATTCTATACTACTCACATTAAGACATGAGTAAAAATGTAACATCATCATTCCATACAATCTCTCCTATGAATAATAAGTTCATTTTGTGAATAAAACGTGCTATTACATTTTTACTCCTGCTTTAATGAGGTTTCATAGAATATTCTAGATACTTTCATGTATGATAACATTACTCGACTGCCCTATAACTCGACCGATCAGGCTAGCATGACTTTGGTTCGGTAAGATGGTTCAATCAACAAAGGCCGAGTCAGTACAATCGGTCGGTTATACTTGATAAACTTTCGGTCGACAAAACTGACTCGACCTGCTAGGCTTTACAAATTAGTTGATATAGCCTTGCTATATAGACCCTCAGTCCCTACATAAGTAGCTACTGTATGCAAAACAAAACTTGGCTATAGAGCAGATGGTGAATCACCGCAACTCGATAGATAACTCGTTCCTTACGAGAGAGTCTTTCAAGATATTGTGAGTCTTCGTTGTACTATCAATTATTAGTCCCATATGAAAAACCTCGAGAGGGCGTCTATGAGGTGGTTGGTAATGATAAAGAACTAATTTTTTTCCTCGGGTCAGATCTACCTCAAGAGGTAGGTCGATTTCTTCACTCGGCTTTCCGTTAGTAGTTAACTGCGGTGTTTATCTATTTTGCTTTAGCCCAATCGATTCGTACTTGAATATTTCTTTTTTTCATTCTCCTGAATTGGTTGGTCCTTTCCCCTAACTCGGATAGTTGTATCTAATCGGATAAGTGAGCGCCTTGATTTCCTGTCTATGGGCCCTCATTTGTTGTACTTGATCCTTTACGAACTCTCAAATCTCCTCGAGATCGGTACTGACGCATAACATTAATCATATTTTTAATGCCAACATTTCTAAATTTCTCAAATTTATAATGTTTTACATTCGATGCAATGGTCATTGAATAATGAGTAAATCTCATTTTGACTTCGTAAGTCTGCTCGAACAGCGCACATAATTAATTAAACAGCAATTAAATACAAAGTTCTATCATCATAATTATAATAGTACAATTTAAACACTTGCTGATTTAAATTTTTATTCTAAAAAAAAAAAAAAACTAAAATAAGAAAATTAAAAGGTGAAAATTTACCATTTCAGCCTTATTTCATTTCCTCGGCAATCTCATGGCTTCTTTACCTGGCCAAAATGCAAAATATATTCATTATTAGACATTGACAAATAAAAATTAAAGTCATTTACATACATACCATTTGTTTTTTCAAAAAAGATTTACATATTTATCATCTACAGTTTATGTATTTAATAATATTTTAATTTATAAATATTATTAAAAATCACTAATATCATTTTATTTAAAATGAAATGAACCCTTTTCATAATATATTTTGTTGAAAATATAATCTTCTATTAAATATAAAAATTAATACGAGATATTAAATACATAAGAATTTATTAATATTCATAAAAACCTTTGTCGTACAAATTATATTAAAAGCAATTAAAAATAAATTTAATAATATTTAAAAACAATTTATAAACTTTTGAGGATTTACATCATATAAAAATTCTGAAATATTTATACAATTAGCACTTAAATCTTTAAATTTGTTACACTTTAATATAATTTAGAAATCAAAATAGCTTATAAATAAATATTAAAAATTAAGAGCTTAGCAAGAGAATTTGAGGATATGTGTGCAAATTGCACAAAGGTTTTTCATAAAATAAGCAGCGCAAAAAAGTCACCACCATCTTCGTAGCGGCGTTACCTCAGACGTCGACTGTGCAAGTAGTCATCCGCTGGAACCGGAACGCCGTCAATCCGCCGTTACCCCTATCGACGGTGAAGAAAGCAGGGCAGCTCACATCGATGTGATAGTGATCGGAGATCCAGCTTCCCACCTTCCACCGGAGCCGGCCGGCGATCTTGATGTAAATAAGAATGAATCCGGCGTTTTCATCCTCCCCAATCGCGTCGACGATGTAAGGAGATAAGGGGACGGCTATGCCGGAGAGAAAAGGGGACCAGATGCTGACATCGTTGTGGCCCTGGTAGCCGGTGGGAAGCCCGGTGGCAACAGTGATCTGCTCGTTTTTGTATTTGGCGAAGACATCGAGACGATCGTAGTATATCCCGATGCGATCGTTAGGGTTTCGAGAGTAGATGGTGATCTGGAGGTTGGAGGAGAGGAGATTGGTGCCGGATGTGAGATTGAGTTGGTAGATTGATGTGTCTTGGAGGAGGAATTTGGGTTTCGTGGGGCGGAGAACAAGCCAGATTACGAGGATGATGAAGAGGATCAGAATGATTAGGGTTAGAAAGAAGGCGAAGATCCGGCGGTAGAGCTTGTGGCGGTAGTAGGAGCCGTGATTGCCGCAATCCTTTTTTGCCATGCTGAGAGAGACAGGGTAATTGGGAAGAAGTTTTTAAGATCGCGTGAAAAAGGAGGGAGTGGGATGGAGAAGAAGGTGGTTAGGGTTTCCGGTGGGATTAGGGGAGAAGGTGGAGAAAGCAGAGGGAGGGAGTGGGGGGAAGCAGGGGAGGGAAATGCATATAAAACAGCTGAATGCTCCGCTGAGCAATGTGGTGTTCCGCGGGGCAGGGCATGCTCTTATCGAGGGCTTAAGCGAGTTAATTTTGAGCATATTTTTCATGAGAAACATTCTTAGATATGCCACATAATAGAGGTGTGCATTTGGACGGTTTAGATCGACCGATTTGAAAATTTTACAAATTAAAACTAATCAATCAAAATACAAATAATTTTTCAAGATAACCGAACTAGTCAACCAAATTTTAATTATGTTTGATATAAATAAAATAAAATAAAATACAAACAAATGCAATGACATAAATAAAAATGACTTTTAATCATATTTCGCTCGCCCCTTCCGCCCTAGTTCTACGAATATAAAGGCAGTTTTCGATCGGTTCAACTTTTTTCTAAAAAACCCCGAATCGAAAACCAAAATATGCAAAATTTAAAATCGTAATATGAACTTGTATTTTAAAAGCCGAACCAAATCAATAAAATGGTTAAATTCATATCGGTTTTTTTAATTTATTCAAACAGTCACACCCCAATCACTTAATTTTTCTGCAATTTATGTCTTTAATATTTTAATTCTTAGGTAAAAACTTGGAGAAACGGTTTTCACGTAAAAAAAAAACCTATAGAAGGAAAATTATAGGAGCTGACCTAGTTGAAGTAATTCATTACATAATCGTGAGAACATAAATCTGCTCTTCTCCCAAAATATGGAAGATGAAATTACAATAATACAATAATGGTCTAGCGTTAATAGTCAAAATTGGGCCAATAAATGTAGTTTTTGGTAGTTGTAATAGGTTCAGTCTAGTTTATCATGAAGACAATAATTGAAAGTTGTGGTAGTAGTTCACCATATAGGTCATTGTTTGTAGCTTCAAGAGCATGGTTGGCCACGAAGGTTATAGTAGAGAGATATAGGATGATGAGCCACGTAGACCATAGTTGGAAGTTGCATCAGTTGCGAGTCACGTACACCATAATTGGTCACATAGGCATCAATGTTGAGTTGCAGCAGTGTCAGTTGGTCACAAAAGTGCAGTTGAAAGCTATAGTGGCAGCAGTAGACCACACAGGCCATAATAGGGAGCTACACAAATTTTTGTAGTTCATAGAGTTATGAGTTGGGAACTGCATCAACCATGAACCACATAAGCTATAATTGGTCATATAGACCATAGTGGTTTGATGTGATAGTGTCCGCTGGCCATAGCGAAGAGGTTTCATGGCAACAATCGACAACGTCAACCATAGTACTGAGCTACAATAACGTTTGTAGGCCGCATATGTTGGAGTTAATATTTGCACGAGTTATGAGCCACGTAAGCTATAGTTGATCACATATATTGTAATGGTAAGCTTCGACAACGCCAATTGGTCACAAAGGTCGTAGCGGAAAACTGTGACGACATCAATCAACCACATAGGCCATAGTATGAAGTTGCACTAACGTCCGCAAACAACAGATGTAGAGTTGGGAATTGCATAAGTTGTGTGTCTTGTAGGTTGTAGTCAATCACATAAGTCGTAATGAGGAGCTGATATAGCATCAGTTGGCCAAAAACGTCGTAGTAAAGGGATATAACAACAACAATTAGCCACATAAGTCATAGTAGGGAGTTGCACTAATATTCATAGGTCACATTAGCTAAAGTTGGGAGATGTGTGAGCTACGAGCAATTTAGGTTGTAGTTAGTCATATATATTGTAGTGGTGAGCTGCAATAGCATTAGTGGGTCACATAAATCATAATGGAGGGTTGTAACGACAACAATTGACCATGTAGGTCGTACCTGGGAGTTGCACTGTCATCTATAAGTCACATAGACCAAAGTTGAGAGTTGTATGAGTTGTGAGCAACATAGGATTGTCTGTGCTCATTTCCAACCCAAATAAATTTTACCTAAACTTTTCAAATGAATTTTTTTGTCTTTCTCGGAACGTTGTAATGATATGTTGGTTTGATTATTCAATTTATAAATTCATCACATGTTTTTGTGCTCTTTTGGTTCGATATAATGATTTTGATTGTTATATGTATAATATAAATACTTGCATTAGTGAATTTATAAGGAGGGACGTGAATTAATTCAATTTCAAAAGAACTCCCAATTTACCTTTATTTGATATGCAATTATCTTATTACATAAGACGTGATTATGAAATTATATACTATGGATCTAGCAAATAAATATTTAAAAATTAGAATTAAAATGAAACCTATTTTTGGAAAAAAGAGCAAAAAATCATAGGATTTTAATGTAAAAATAATTTTGGTGCAATATACACTTTGGGAAAAAAATATTTAGACTGCCTTTGTCTTTAGTAGTGATTTATTTTTTGACATTCAACTATTAGAAAAAAAATAATTAATTAATAAATTAGCACACATATAACAATAATTAAAAAAAAAAAAGAAAGTGTTAAAATAGCCCTCACGTACTTACATTGGGCGTTTTAGGCCCTGTTTGGCGCAGCTTATACAGGCGCGGTGGCGTTTTCAGAACGCCGCCCTCGCGTTTGTTTCGCGTGTTCGTTCAACGGCGTTCTGAATGTAGCGTCGCGCAGATCGTTTTTTTTTTCATTAATCGGATCGCGGGGATGAGGTTGTGTTCGGCGTTGGCTGTTGGCGTTAGGGCTCGAATTCATTCTTTTGCCTTTTGTGATCTCTCTCGCGCTCTACCCTCGCCTCCTCCCTCTCCGATCCAAAGCATCACTCTGTGTTGGCGTTAGAGCTCGATTTCGTTCTTTTTCCCTTCGAGATACTCTCCAGTATGACCTACGATTGTTTGTTGTTGGTTTTTTTCGATTATTCTCCTTTCGTGCTCTGGATCTGTGAATTTTTTATTGGGCGTTTTAGTCAAAATTGTCCCAATTATTTTAAAATTACGTTCTAATAGTCATTCGTGGGGACTATTTCAACCATAATTTACAGAGACTCGGGGTTATTTTTGTCGTTTTATGTCTAGAACTAAAACGATCCCATATAAATAGTCAGGATTTATTTTATCACTTTGCTCAATTTAAAAATAAGTTTAATTATTTTCAAGCCTATTCTAATTCAATATATATCCAATAATTCTAACATACTTTTTTTAATCCATCAAAAATAAAATTACAAATATGCCAAATGTCCCAAACATGCATACTACTTATTCTTATTTTTTTGCACAACTAACGCCTAAACTATGCTTCTTACATTAATAATGCTCAAATATTTTATTTCATATTAAAAATAACACTATTTTTAAAAATAAAATACATATTTTCATGCATAAATAAGACGGCGTCTTTATAAAAATTGAAGTTAGGTAATCAATATATAAATATTTTAGAAGTGAGTGGTATGCAGCTAAATCTTCCAATTTCTATTTGTTTTTGTATTTCATAAATATTCTTAAAAACCGTTAGTAACACATTTGATGTGTGCTAGAAAATTTGTGGCGGTAGAGTAACAAACTATTGTCTTAACGATGTACGAAAGTTCAGCATACACACGGATGAAAGAGGAAAAAATGGTGACGACTCCAGAAGCGTAAGGGAAAAATTACGGGGTCTTACCCAGTTGCGGAAATCTACTATTAATTGATGATTACATAAATCTCTTGTCCCACAGACGGAAAATGATAACTAAAAATGATAACTATATTTTTCAGATTACAATGTTGACTGACGGCATCTGGTTGATGGTGATCGATGATGGTTAGTGATGGTCGATGATGGCCAGTGGTGTTAGTCTTAGGTTGGAGGTCGGCGATGGTCGATGATGGAGGTTGGTAATCGGCAGAGGTCGGCGGTGGTTGTGGTGGTCGGCGGAGGTGCAGCTTCTCTTCAAGGCCCAGACTCTCTCTCTCTCTCTCTCTCAATTTCTGCTCTCCCTCATGTGAAGAGTGGAGGTCAATTTATAGTGTTTTGGGTGCAATTAATGTTGGAATATCAACCATTTTGATCGGATAATCCAGAGAGCTTACATTGATCACACGACGTTTAATAGACATTTGAGTGCTCTAATAATGTCAAAATTAAGTCATCTTGGGCTCGTTGGATTCGTCTTGTCGAGCCACTCGATTCGAGTATAAATTTGTCATATTCGACAACCGTTTGATCTTCCAAATATGTCTGGAAATCTTCTAAGTGTGATTCAATGACTTAATCTGGGTTTGATTAGACTCGGATTGGACTAGTTTTTAAATCATTAGGTCCGTCTCATCGAGACGTTCAATTTGACTATACGTTTGCTGAAATCTGAGCTCTAAATTAATTTTTATGAATATTTGAATGTTTTTTTGCTCAAAATATCATATCGGGATCTGTGTCATGTCTCGAGATTCATGTCAGATGATGAAAATTGATTCATGTCAGATGATGAAAAGATGATGAAAATTTGTTGGTGGCGTATCACCATTTTCATGGATAGGTAAGCTTACATATTTGTAAAATTTGAAAGTTTAGTTGTTAGATAATATGTAATTACATAGGAATTGAATGGTATGTATGTACATCTTGCAATTATATTATAGCGCATATATATTCATATAAATATAAATACTAAATATTAATTTACACTATATTTACATAATGCAGCATAAATGGACATGTAATTAAACTTATAAAAAATAGTGAAGCATCACATATTTTTTATGAAAATTTTATTTGCATGACACATAATGATTATGTATTCGTAATCTAACATCAAAATTATATTTACGCATATAACATTTCATTATTATAATCACATCAAGATAAATATACAGAAAGGAACATTTTACGTTATAAATTAATTTTAATTCTATTTTTTGACCCGGAGTTAAAATTTGAGTTTATTACATATCCCACGGATTGCTTTGAACTAGACCAAAATCATCGCATGCGGCCGCTTCGCTCGGTCGGTAGGGCCTTTGGCTTGACAATGTTTCTTTCTGCTTGGCACGGATCTTGTCGCTGCCCGTAAGGATTACCCTTGAGGGCTTGTCTATGGGATGATTCGCTCTACGCTCATTCTTGAATCTTGTTGCTAGTAAGCGGATAACCACCTCCGAAGACTAGATCCTTTCGACCTCGAGGCTTGGGTTTGTGGCGCAAAGATAGATCAAGCATACACTTGACCCATTGTAAGCGGTCGTTTAGGATTACAAAAATTGTCGTTCATTAAATATATAAATATTTTTTGCTTTTTTATCATTTAATTTTATTGCTATTGTTTGGCGTACCTATGTTATATGAATTCTAGAATTGTCGGTCTCGCGCGACCTCTTCGATTAGGTCGAGTTCCCCGAGTGTCGGGATTTGGTGGCCTCCATCGGGAGACAGTCGAAGGACGGGTCTTTCTCCCTCACTTGGAGCGATCCAGAAGATGTTATCTTCGGTCGGGTCTATCTCCCTCGCTGGATGGGGGCAACTAAAGGACGGTCACGTTGGTCTCGAGACTTCCTTCCCTTTGTATTTGGATGTCGAGTGGTTCTTGGTCAATACTGGTGATGGCTCGAAGATAATTCCTCCTGTATTGCTTTAAGTTTCCTCGAATCGTGATTATTTCTCCATCGCTAGAAAGCTTTACGACCACATGGTACGTCGATGCTACCACCTAGTAGTTGTTTGACAATGTCTGACCAAAGATTGCATTGTAGGTTGGTGGTCCACCACCAGAAAGTTCTCTATATTGGAGAATTATTTTTTTCGTTCTCCCCACTAAACAAGCAACAGGAACAAGCTTAGGGCTTCCTTTTTTTAACCAAAGAAGTCGAATAATGGGCCAACCTGTGTTGTTGGTTAGTCAACTTTAGGCCCCATTTTGTTGAACACCATTTTGAAAAGAATCTTGACCGAGCTCCCGGTGTCGGCCAGAATGCTATCCACTCGGTAGTTGTTGATGAGGGCTATAACAACGATCACCTCATTGAACGAATATCCCTTCGGTGATAAATTTACATATGTAAAAATATTTTTTTCTTTTTGGCGTGCAATTGTAAGGGGTGACTGAACATATCTCCTCCAGCCCGTGTCTCTTCAGACTGGTTGGTCGGGGCATTCCTCCACCTCCACCGAAGATAGCCGGAATGATCCCAGTCAGGTGGATTTCATTCGTGCACATCGACCTGCCCCAACTGGTTTCTTCATTGGAGCTTTCAGTTGTCGTTGCTTATGTGCTTCAACAATGATAAAATTCTTCAACTTCCCATCCTTTATAAGCTCATCCACTAGATTTTTCAGATGAATTCACTCCTCCGTGTCATGCCCATAGTCCTGATGGCAAGCACAATACCTATTTGGATTGAGCAGTTCCGATGCTAACTTCAGCAAAGTGGTCTTTTTGGAATAGTCCTTATTCTGAATGGCCTGGACTAGTTCGACCATTGATGCATTCAAGGGTGTCGAACCTTGCATCTCCTGATATACATGTGATTGTTTGAAGTACAGGGATGACCGTTGGCAGGAGGGGTGTCGCTGCTGACCCTAGTTGCCTTGGCTGCCCCTTCGGTTGTCCCGGGGTGTCAGTCGCCGTTAGATGGTTGGTCAAGGGCTTTTTCACTCCTTAATACAATTGATACTTTAATTAATCGTATAAAATTTATATTATATTTGTATTACAAATTTAATTCTATTATGACAACATTGGTTAGTTAGCCTTTAGCTGGCAAAGACGACTGGTTGATGACCGATCACACCTCCCAAAGTAAGTGTCAGTCTGTTGAGGCGCCCGATCCAATGGATATCTTGCCCGCCGCAGTAAAAGCGGGTCAACCAACTAGCTGGCCATCACAGGTGCTAGCATGCCTATTGGTCAGTTGGGACTGCAAGCGTGGTTCATTGACTGAATTTCTCACAATAATGTATCGGTTGATTCTGATCACATGATCGCTTGTTGAACGATAGATGTCTTGATTGTCTAATTGTCATCGGGGTCATTTGATTGCTTTGAGATTCGTGCTGACAATTTTGATGTGTGCACACCACAAACAGAAATATATATATATATATATATATA